CCCAGGCGCCGGCCCCCCCACACCTTCGTACCAGGAGCTGGCCCAGCTGCTGGCCCAGCCGGAAGTGGGCCTCATCCACCAGTACTGCCAGGGCTACTGGCGCCATGTGCCCCCCAGCCCCAGGGAGGCCCTGGGGGCACCCAGGCCTCCTGAACCCCAGGACCAGAAAAAGCCCCGGAATCGCCGCCACCACCCGCCGGACACATGAGGCCAGCTGTCTGAGCCCTGCAATGGGCCACCCTAGCCCTTGTCCCTTTTAATATAAAAGATATATAGATATATATATATATAAAAATATCTATATTCTATACACACCCTGCCCCTGCAAAGACAGTATTTATTGGTGGGTTGTATATAGCCTGCCTCAGCGGCAGCAATGTCCAGAACTTAGACCCGTGCTGGTCAGAGACGGCAGAAAACAGAGACCACCTAATCAGGCCCAGCCAGCTGGGAGGCCAGGCCCGGCCAGGACTGCACAGTCCCCAGACTCAGCTGGGAGTCCACCTGCTGGACAGCTACCGCTGGAATCTACAGGACACAGGGAGGAGCCAGCTCCACTGGGACAGGCATGAACTGGACAACTTCTTGCCAGTGTGTGCTCTCAACCTGAGCCGTCGGCATAGACATGGATGCAAGGACTGCTTCGGAGACTGGGGGTGGGAGGGGGGCTCAGATGCACTCAGAGAGGGAGGGAAGAAGGGGCCATCACAGGATGCCGGCCCCAGCCTGGGAGGGGGGCACTCAGTCAAGGCCAGCCCCTTCCCGGGTATTTATTCTCTATTTATTGGGGATGAAGAGGAACCCTGTGTGGGTGGGGCAGCCCTTCCAGCCCCTCCTCCCCCGTGCCTGGCCACTCTACCTCCTCTTGGCTTTTTCTGTGCCACTGACTCAGGGGCTGGGAGAATAGCAGAGGGGCCAGGCTTAAGCAGGGCTGAGGGCAGAGGGGCTGTGGCAGAGGCTGGGGACTGCGGAGGCTCCCCGCGGCTCCCTTCTGCCCACCACTTCAGATGATGGGTGTAAATAGCTCTGGGGGGCAGTTGGGTAGGTGGATGGGAGCTCCTGGAGGCCCCCAGCTGCCCAGGCCACAGCCGCCCTTGGGTTCCATCTTGTTAATAAACACTGGCTCTGGGACTGGACTTTGGCTTTTCTCCTTGGCGGGGGAGGATGGGGGTTCAGCCCATGACCAGGTTCTGTCCCTCCTGCCCCTCACCCCCACCCTGTGCGGCTTCGCCACAAGTTCCCACGGGTTCTTTTTTACTGGCCAGCTTCCCTTCTCTCATTCAATTATTGGATCGTTAGTTCAACTCTCTCCTCACCTGGCTTTGTGTCCAGCCTTGTGCCAGCATTAAGGACTCAGAATTGGCAAGACAAAGCCACAGCCCTCACAGTCTAGCCTGCCCCCCCCCAAGCAACAAAATCCCCTTTCTTCCTGCCTGCTTCTAGCAGCTCAGCGGAGGGCCCAAAGTGAGCAAGTGAGTAGAGACGGGGAGACCAAGGTAGGTGAGGAGCTGCTGGAGAGGAGGAAGTGGGGCTGGGTGCCCTGGGCCAAATGCACTGAGTCGGGCCTGGCAGGGGAAGCTAAGAGCTGGGGAGGCCCAAGGATCAAACAGGGCTTAGGGCCATACCTGGTGGCAAGGGAGCCAGGTGGGGACAGGAGGCAGTGGATTGGCCCCACTTTAAATAATATGCAAAAAGCAGGTTTTTGTTGTTTTAACAAACCCGGGCCCCTGCACCACCTAAGCCCTTGTGTATAAAGAGCTGCAGAGAACCACGGGGCCACTTACCATGTGGGGGATGGAAGATGGTTGGAACCTGAGGCTGAAAATGGCCTGGACAGATCCCCCTCCCCCAAGAGGGTAGATGTTGGAGCCCTTGGTGGGGCCAGTATTTACACCTATGTGGTAGGGACACTACAGGACACAGGGAAGGAGCCAGCTCCACTGGGACAGGCACGGACTTGACACCTTTGCCACCTTTGCCCTGTGTGGTCTCCTGGTTACAAATAGAGTCAGATATTAAAAGGCAGCCAGGTTTCCCGGAGGGAGTCCAGGCAGGAGGCTCAGGGCCCTCGAGGGAGCCTTGGGAGCCCAGGGTTTGGGGCTTCTGATGGGCAGTGGGAAATCTTCATGCCCACCCAAGTCCACTGGCATCTTGTCATGGAGAGGCCCCACCCAGGTCAGACCCAGCCCTCTGTATGGCACAAACGCAATGTCCACCTTTGCCTCTTGACTCCCTGAAGAGCATGACACCTAGTACCAGAGTCACCCAACCCTTCTCAATCGCCTCCTACTGCATGACTGAGCCTCCACTGCTTCATCAGCACAGAGGCGCTGATGGTGTGGGAGCCTCCCCTAGGGCTGGTGTGAGCTCACAAAATCAGGAGCAGTGCAGAGCCCAGGTGCCCCTGCATGCTTCTCCCTCTGCTCCCTGCTGCCAGCCCTGCCCCCATGGTCCCCACCCCCTTGGCTCAAGGCCTTTTCCTCCCCTTTCTGAGCCTGATCCCTGCTCCAGGGCAGGGGCAGGACCATTTCCAGGGTCTCTCCTGGAGGACTGGGGGAGGGGGTAGTGGGGGTGCAGAGTCAGCAGTTGAAGGATTGGGGCTACACCAGCCCGATTACAAGGGGTGGGGGCTGAGCTGGATTCACTTGTCCTTGTCTCTGATTGGCTCTTGGGTACCCGCAGCACCCAAATCCCACTAAGTAGCCCCACCAGGGCCTGCACAGGTCTGGAGAGCCAGTTGATTGCCAGGCCTGGAGCCAGAAGGGCATCCAGGGAGGCCAGAGGCTGGCCTGAGCCTGGCTCTGGAGATCCCTCCATCCAGAAGAGCCAACTGACCATTTCTTCACCTACTGCCAGGGCCATGGGGGCTGGGGCCAGCGCGGAGGAGAAGCACTCAAGGGAGCTAGAAAAGAAGCTGAAGGAAGATGCTGAGAAGGATGCCCGGACCGTGAAACTGCTGCTTCTGGGTAGGGGTGTGGGCCCAGGTGGAGCCACTGTCACAAGGTCAGAGGCCCAGGGGCAGGCAGGTGGCCCTTCTGTGAAGCAGGAGTGACTTGGGAAGCAGAATGAGCCTGCAACAGGGCAGGGAACAGAGTGGGAGCCCTGACTGGCAATGCCCTGGCTCCCCAAGGCTAGGTATGCTGTGGAACCCCTCTCCAGAGGGCCTACCTCAGGAAGCCTCCCCTCTGAGAAGTGTGTACTAGCTGCTCTTGTAGAGGTGTGTGTATGGGGCACACTTTTGCCCTGGCTGGACATGATGGGCCTGCTGGGCAGGGCTCAGAAACCAGGGTCCTCTGGGGAGCCCCACAATAGGCTGCTCCCTTGGGAAAGAGGTCACAGTCCTGAGAGGGCAGCCTCTAGAACCATCCAGAACTTTATTGTTGGCAGACCTGCAAAGCAGGTAAAGGGGTACTAAGGCCCAGAGGGGAACGGATAAAGCACGCCCACGGCCCCATGGTAGTGAGGGGACATGGGGCGGATTCAGTACTTGGAGGCCCCAGGGAGCTGCTCTGAGAGGGGTGCAGGCTCCACCCAGGTTCCCCAGAGTCCAGTCAGTGCCCCAGGAAGGCAGAAAGGCTAAGCCAGAAATCCCATTAACTGTGCCCAACACCCTCGCAAGCAGGCTTAGAGGGGCTGTCAGCTCTGTCTCTCCCCCACCAAAGGCGCTAATTCGCTCTGAGCCTCAGGGAAACACTCCCCAACCCAGGTGAAAAGCTGGGCTGACCCGGCTCAAATAATCCCGTGCTGCAGTGCCACATGTCTCCACCAGGTGGCGCTCCAGGCTTTATTTTGGTCTCAGGCTAATCAAGTGCTTAAAGCAGGGTCCTGTGGGTTCCCCGGCACAGCCGAGGTCGTCGATCCCCCTTGGCGACCTTCTTCGGTCACCCCTGGCTGTTACAGAAGTTTTCCTGCCAGGGCGCCCGACCTTACTTGGGGGGTTGAGGGGGAAACAGGTGGCACTGAGGGCTCCGGGTGGGCCTCTCCGTTTTCCGGGCCCCGCAGCAAGGTGAGGATGGGGAGGCGTCGGCGGGGGGGCGCGGGGGGCGCAGCTCTGAGGCCGGGCTCCCCCCCAGGTGCCGGCGAGTCTGGGAAGAGCACCATCGTCAAGCAGATGAAGTGAGTGCCCTGCC